CAAACAAAATGTAACAAACTAAAAAAAAAAAATCGACAAAAAAAAACATACCACCCAATATTATAAATATACAAAAATATAAAAAAAAAAAAAAAAAAAAAAAAAAAAAAAAAGAAAAAAAAAAAAAAAACCTGTTGGTTTTATATGTTGCATCAACAACCAAAACATCTTTCGCTGAAAAATGCATTTCGATGAGCTCAGAAGATTGCTTGGATAAATGATCCATCTTGATCACGCTCATCGTTATACACAGGTTTAGTAGCAATACTTGCAATAATATTTTCATCATGTTCTAAAGTTTTAAGCAGCATCTCAATTTCATTTAGCCCTTGCAATTTTTGCTGACGTTGACGATCAACAGCATTATAAACATCACGTTTATGTATATACTTCGAGCTCATGGATGCTAAAATAGTATAAATGTCTTTTGTTCGAAGTCCCTTATTGTGAAGATCTTCAATCGTGCCTAGCTCATTCTGATCCATTTTACGCATATTGATACTGAACTTTCTAGTATTAGGATAAATAACATGATTATGCTCCAAGCATAATTTGGTTATAGCGAATTCTTTTGAGCGCTTACGATAATTTAATCTGATAACAAACTGACAACCTATTCGCTTAGTAGTATATGCCTCATTTTTTCCATTATAGCTCCTCTGTTTCTCGCAAATGAAAAATGCCTGTCTATAACTATTACCTTCTGAATTTTTGGTTGTCCTTCCCAAAATTGTAACAATATTGGTTTGTGCTGCATACTTTTCTACAAAGGCACAAGCTTCTCCAAAAGTAGAAAAAGTGTTTCCTTTTTTAGGAATAAGAATATCATTAGTATTAGTACTCATTACAAAAATCGTTAAAATTGATGAAAAATAAGGCGAGTATGAAAAAATAAGCCAAATAGCAACGAAAGTATATGAAACTAGATTGATGAAAATGGAAACGAATATTGTAAGATTAATGATAAATGTAAAATCAACTATGAATATAAGATCAACGATGAATACAAGGTCAATGGTGATGAAAATGGAAGCGAATATTGTAAGATTAATGATAAATGTAAATTCGACTAAATATGAATATAAGATCGAGATCAATGATGGATACAAGGTCAATGGTGAATATCAAGTCAACGATAAACATAAGATCAAAGTAAGATCAAAGTAAGATCAAAGTAAAAGCATTAAA